AGTATGGAAGAATGCATAAAAATCTTTAAAATATAATAAAAGGACATTTTAGTTGAAAAGTATGCCTTTGTCAAGTTTGGAAATCAAAATGCACTTTCAATGTAGAAGACAAGCCATAATCATATTTATACTCATAACATAGTGAAACCATTACCTTAGCAACCCCTAAGGAACACTAGTGCAATGTATGGTTAGCATCCCATAATACCAACCATACTAAGTACTCCTTTGAAGCTACCTTAGGCATACATATCATCTTTAGACCTCATCATAATCAATAGTCATAAATAAGGAAATAGTCATGTACATTACTTGAACATAAGGAAAGTCATTCATTGCAACAATCCATTCAACATACATGCATACATTCATGTCTTATCACAACATAAAGAAACTACCCCATAACACGTTACTAAGTTTACTTGTGCAATGTAAAAGTGAAGTCCCATACCCCCACTACTACTAAGTAAAACTCAATAAGAAGTCCTAGGTATAGTTCATGTCTTATTCATTATCTTGTCATATAGGGAAGAATTGCCATAACCGACATAGACCATGTGAGCGACATGGAATCCGATGTCGTGTAACCCCACACTGAAAGAAGGTGTCCTACTTACCTAAGGTAGAACTAAATGTATAGATTTTAGGTGGATCTACTAGCTAAAGACCTATATGGGCACATAGTTATGGGATATGGAGATTGCTTCTAGAAACCCAACCTATTGTATTGGCGGAGGAGTTTCCATCTCATGAGAATAATCTAGGTGACCCGGCCTATTGTATTGACGGGAGGGCCTCTACCTCATTGATCATATCCACTTGGTAGCATTATTTCCCAAATTATACATAATTAATCTTTGAATTGCATTTACATGTGTGAAAGAATACTTTGCCCTTCATTCAATACAACCCATAAATTAGATCATAGATTCAATAAAGTGAGAACTAACTTTCAACCTTAGAATCCTCATTAACATGTGAGTAAACCTTTCACATTATTGTTCATAGTGTTTCATGAGAATAGCCTTTCAATCAACACAACAACATCATCATCATCCTAGACAATTCATACATAATCAAGTGTAAGGGTAAGGGAAGAATGGTCTTTCAACAATACCTCAATGTATACAATAGTCATAGGATCTTCACTTTCTAAGTGAATCATAAGTCCATACACAACATTCATCAACATGTATAAACCCTAGAAATTTACCCCCTCAAGGGTCATGAATCATTCTCACAATTAAACCTAGAATTACTAGACTAGGCATAAATGAAACAAGATTCAATAACTAAAACATCATAGATACAATTCATAGTATTCATCTTTCATCAATACACCCATCACAATTCATGAAATTGGGATCATTGGGTAATTCATGGGTTCATGGGGAATTTCACAATAAAAATCACCATTAAACATCAAATCATCCATAATATAAGAAAATTAACATAATGAAATCGTTTTTAGGAAGAACTCATGGCTAGATTGAGAAAAGTGTTCAATGAATCAAGTCTCACATACCTTAATTGATGTCTTCCTCACGAAATTGGAGTGAAAAGGATGGATCTTGAACCCCTAGCTTGACCTTGTTGATGTTCTTTAATGGAGTCTAAAGAGAGAAATATCGTGAAGAGGACAGTTAGTTGAGTTTTGAGTTTGTGAGTTGTGAGATGTTAAAAGAGTTGGTTAATAACATGGATATACTTATTTAGGTCTAAAATAATTAATTAAAATGACCCCACACTAATATAACACGTTTTGGAATTTATGGCTTTGACTAAGCCTTGGCCGAATTTTTGGGCGGCTTCAGGGGTAACCCACGGACCCCCATCCACGGACCGTGGATGGGGTCACACCCCGTGTTGTTCATCCGTCATTTGGTTCAGATAAAAGGGAAATGGGGGAAAGATTGGGGAGACTAAGTCTCGACCCACAAACCCCACCTACGAGGCATGGGTCCACCCACGAATCGTGGGTGTCCATCTGTAGGTGGTGCTGTCATTTGACAGCTTTTTGGGCCTTCACTTGGGTCCTCCTCAAGGACCCTTAGGGGGTCCTTGGGGTCATGCCTTGACATGTAGGTCCTAAAACATTAGTACTAAGTTAGGGAGGTCATTTTAGGACTTTAATCTTTACATTTAACTAATTTAGGACACTAGACTACATGTTAGGTTCTAGCTTAGGTCATTAGATTTTCTGGGGTGTTACAAGGGTATAAGGGAAGGGTAGAGGGAGGTATAGTGCAGGGGTAGAGGGGTAGATGAGGAGGATAGAGGGGGTAGGGGAGATGGGGTATAAAAGGGTAGAGGGGAGGGATAGATGGGGTGTATAGAGGGAAGGAGGTAGAGGGGAGGGGGTTAGAGGGAGAAGGGAGGGGGTTAGAGGGAGAAGGGAGGTAGAGGGGGTAGAGGGGGGTACATGAGGGTAGAGGGGAGGTAAAGGAGAAAGAGAGGTATGGTGAGGGGTATAAGGGTGGGGGTGGTATGGTGGGGTATTGTGGGGGTATGGGATGGGGAGGGGATAGGGTGGGGGGTTATTGGGGGATGGGGTTGCCTCGGGGCGGGGATGAGGGGGTGCCTCGAGGCGGAGCACTCAAATTTTTTTTCACAAAAAATTTTATGAAGACCTCCGTAATGATGAGTAACCTTCTTAACATCATTTTTAATGTCCATTTCCGCATTTACAAGTCCTTCTTTACAAATTGCCCAAATTTTGGATCTAGCGCCCGGACCATTTTAAAAAAATATTCTCAAAAAATATTATGAGGACCTCCATAATGAGTTGGGGAATCTTCACGTATACTCACACAATTTTCTTAACGCTCATTTACCCATTTACAAGCCCATTTTACAAAGCGCCCAAATTCTCCAACTTTTCATGCGTTTCATGGATCTGGCGTCCGAAGCACCCAAAAAAGTTTTCTCAAAAAATCTTATGAGGACCTTTGTAATGAGTTGGTGAAACTTCACGTGTAATCACACCATTTTTTAACAGTCATTTTCGCATTTACAAGTCTTTTTTTACAAATCTCCCAAATTCTCTGATTTTTCGTGTGTTACACATGGATCTGGTGCTCGGAGAACCAAAAATGTTTTTCTCAAAAAACTTTATGAGGATCTCCGTAATGAGTTGGGAAACATTCACACATACTCACACTATTTTTTAATGCTCATTTCCGAATTTAGAAGGCTTTTTCTACAAATCACCCAAATTTCCCAATTTTTCATATGTATTATTAGCCCATGGATCTGGCGCTCGGAGCACCCAAAATTTTTATCTCAAAAAAATTTGTAAGGACCTCCGTTATGAGTTGGGAAACCTTCGCGTATACTCAAGCCATTTTTTAACGCTTATTTCCTTATTTACAAGCTCTTTTTTACATATTGCTCGAATTTCCCAATTTTTCGTGTGTATAGCCCAGGGATCTGGTGCACGGAGTACCTTAAATTTTCTTGTCAAAAAACTTTGAGGACCTCTGTGATGATTTGGGAACCTTTACGTATACTCACACCATTTTTATCGCCAAAATTCCCCGATTTTTCGTGTGTTTTAGCCCATTCATCTGGCGTTGAGCATCCAATTTTTTTTTCTAAAACAACTTTATGAGGAGATGCGTAATGAGTTGGGGAACCTTCATATATACTCAAACCATTCTTTTAATACTCATTTCCACATGTGGATCTTTCGTCCAGAACACCCAAAACTTTTTTCTCAAAAAACATTATGAGGACCTCTGTACTGTATTGGGGAACCTTCGAGTATACTCACACTATTTCTTAAACGCTCATTTTCACATTTACAAGCCCTTTTTACGGATCGCCCGAATTCCCTGATTTTTCTTGTGTATATATTAACACATGGATCTGGTGCTCGGAGTACCAAAAATTTGTTTCTCAAAAAATATTATAAATACCTCCGTAATGAGTTGGGGAACCTTCACGTATATACTCACACCATTTTTAACACCCATTTCTGTATTTACAAGCCCTTTTTACGAATCTCCCAAATTCCTCGATTTCTTGTGTGGATTAGCCAATGGATATGGCGCCCGGAGCACCCAAATTTTTTTCTCAAAAAACTTTATGGGAACCTCCGTAATGAATTGGAGAACCTTCGTGTATACTCATACCATTTTTAACGCTCATTTCCGTATTTACAAGACCTTTTGTTAAGAAACGCCCGAATTCCTCAATTTTTCGTGTGTATTAGCTCATGGATCTGGCGTTCGAAGCACCCAAATTGTTTTTTCTAAAATAACATTAAGAGGACCTCCGTAATGAGTTGGGTAACCTTCACGTATACTCACACCATTTTTAACGCCTATTTCCG